GTTCCACTACAGCATCGTCGAGGGAGATGCTGACTGATCTTGGGGAGAGCTGTTGGCCGCTGGGGCTACCTGTTTCTTCGAACCCGGGTCGACGAGGAGGGGATGGAAAATCGGGACGGACTACCCTCGAGGGAGCGGGCAGGGCGTCGGCATCGGACATCTCAACGTCCGGGAGCTTGACTCGTTTCCGTGAGGCATCTTCGGCGTCACAGTCGATCATGCTTAGCTCCGCCGACGATCCGGTACCCCCGCTCCCACCCCCCAGCGCGAGACCCCGGAACCTATGTGCTACCCGAGTGCGCGGACTCGCATTCCCGTCGTCGGCGGCAGCATTGATCTCGAAGGTGAATTGTGTTGCAGTATTGATATTGAGCGTGCCATCGTCGAGCATCTCGCTCCGTTTCCTCTTGGGTGTCGTGAATGGAGATTTGGTCATGATGGCGGCTAACTGCCGATGCGGTACGGTCAATTGCAGTGTTGGGTCAGCCTTGTCGATTCGATTCGCCGAAGCCTCGCTCTCGGTGCGGTCAACAGACGGAAGGTTCGAAATGGGACGAAGCGGAAGCGAAACAGTGATATAGCCGTGAACCAGCGAGCTTGCCAGACGTGGCAGTCCGTGGGTAGGCAGTTTTGGATTTGGTGCAATTTACCGGAGTACTTCGTGGCCTCCTGTTTCCATTGTCAATGAATGAATACAAGCGCTCGCCATTCGCCGGCTCCTACTTGCAGCAGGGATATGCCGCACGCCGCATGCTATGTGGGTCATCAGCCCTGAAGATTCGATGATGTGGGTCGAAAACGGGGCGCCTGCAGTGGATCTCCAGAGTCTCCCTGCCCCGCTTTCCACACGTCAGATGCCCCGCTCGACCAACTTCATCATCCCGGGCACTGATGCGGGAGGGACTCGACGGAGTGCGGCAACCAACGCAACCTTCTCGAACCTCCCATCTCACCATTCCCAATCCCGTCCCTATCTCGAGGCTGTTGATACGTCGGCTTTCTAGTCACGCGAAGGCGCATTATTTTATCAGAATCTTCTTTCAATGCTTCTGCCTCGTAACGAAGCTGCCTAATGCGAACAGCTCTACGGTACTTGGGCACCTAACAAGAACGTAGCCTCGTTGAAAACCCAAGGCTTTCGTTAAGGTCGCCCAACCGCGGCTGACGTTGGTGGCCGTCACCCAGTGACAGCGCGCCACTTTGTTGTCCTCACACGTGTTGGCAGTCCCAGGTCCTTGGGCATCAGGGATCATGCTTCACCCCCAAGCAAGATTCCTCCCGCCAAAGTTTCTTTCTTGCCCATGGTCAGACTTGCCTACTGCTTTCCTGCTTGCGGTCCAACGAGACATGATCATAATATATAGATATGGGGGTAGACCTTTGTGGGTAACGGGGTGTGATGGGAGACAGCTTTAAGAAGCAATGAGATTCGTGGGGACACTATTGGTTGTGGACAGCTGGGTCAAATATCAAATCAACCCTCCAAACACATCCGGGAGGAGGCTTGATAACGAATTCCGGCAGCTCCCCTGCTGGCCAACGTTGGGAGTAGAACTCCGATCATGGCTCTACCTACCGAGGTAGCTTACCTCCCTAGGTATGTGCTGCTGTGGGGATACCAGCCCTCAATATCCACCCATCTCCATGATTACTAGGGTCTCGATCACAACACCAAACTTCGGGTGGCCGCCTTGTTCCTTGCGCAAAGCAGAAGATATATTTATGGTCGAGTTAAGTTACGTATCTATTGATCGAAGTCTTTTGCTTGTCGGCGAACTCCGGCCGAGTAGTTGACAGTTTGCCTAGGTAGGTAGCTTCCAAACAGCCTAAGAATTCATGGCGACTCGGGACGCCGGGACATTTGGGATACAGGTGTTGATATTCCGCCAGTATCCCTGGTATTAAAAATGCCCCTGTTATTTGTCCATGTCAACTATGTCATTTGTGTTTTTTTATTAGCGATTGGTCATTTGGGTGATAGAGTCGGATGATGTTAGGTTACCAGGTGGGGTCAGTACCTAACGTCAGTTCGAACGCTGCCTCAGTGGCGTTGACACTTAAAGACACAGAATGCACTTGACATTTTCTAACATGAGTTTCCTCACCGAATCCGAGATATTTTCTGCACTATACCTTACCGCGATCTGAAACCAGCTAGCACCCGCAAAATTCGACCAACGACAATGGCGAGCCCGCTATCCGCCGCCGGGGCGTCGCCAGAACCATCGCCATCCTCGCCGCTATCGCCGCTTTTACGCCTCCCGCCGCACACTCAACAACGGATCTACCGCTATCTTGGGTTGGAATCATGGGACGGCCGACCAGACACGTTCTATTTGTACGCCGGTCACCTCAAACGGGGTCACAGCCCCTGTATTAGCCGCCACCCCCCGCCAGACCCGAAGTCCTACCACGGCCTGCTCCTGTCTTGTCGCGCCATCCACGCCAAAACTACGGGTCTCCTCTACTCGTCCAACCACTTTGTTCTCTACTATTGCAAGCCGCCCGAGCACCCTGGCTACCCCATCTCGTCCCGTCCGCTACGCACTCTACACCCTACCTCGTTTCGTCCACTACATACTCTACACGCTCTAACCGAGTCGTCACTCCATTCTCTCTCCAATCTCAAGATTGTTCTTAACGAAGCTGCCGGCCACCAGTTACCACTATCCCTCTACAGCGAAGGGAGTTGCTGCGCTGACGGTCGGGGAAACCCCGAACCCAACTATCTACTCAACCCCGACTTCTTTCTCGCGTCCGAACCGAGGCACAAAGGCCTGCACAGGCTTCCCCTCCTAAGTTCAGCCTCTATGGAAGACCATAGCGACAAGTGGGCGGCGACCAACTCTATCCTGGGAGAATGGAACGTGGCAGCAACTCGTTTGCTGTCCCATATCGCTCCCGGGCGCCTCTCTCTTTCTGTGGTTTGCGACATCGACCCCAAACACCCACAGGCATTGGATATAGCAAAATCCGTCGTAGCACCCATCCGGCTCCTCCCGCCATCTAATCTAAAGGAATGCCGTGTCCGCCTAGCCAAGACGCCGGATGGTCGACTCCGGCAGCTTGCCGAAGATACCGTCTCCTATGCCTGCGGAATACCTACCATGTCCCGGGAGCCGCCGTCAAACATGGCAGCCACTCTGACGACCCTCCCACGCGAGCTCCGGATTAAGATTCTTGAGTATACCGACCTTGTTACACCGAGAAGACAAGTGATATGGACTAGACAGCAGCGTGCATATACCGTACTCACCCCCGCCTGCGGTCCTGGGCCGCCCTCCGGACGATCTCCATAGCTTTCAGTTTTTTGAATGCTGGCGCGATAGCTCTAAGAGTGGTGCATCGCTCAACGGCTGTTTTTGTCGTCGCCGCCATGCTGCGTTTTCCCTTGAGTGCAAGTGTTGGTGCCCACCTGGGCCTGCCCTCTTCCTCTTGTCCCGCGCTTTATACCAGGATGCGCAGTTCGTCTTCTTCTCGAGTAATCGCTTCATCATCCATGACTATAAAATAACACCCGCGTGGGTAGTGCCAGTCCTTGAGCTGTACCCATTAAGGAACCCACACATGCCCATCCCTGGATGTCCCTATCCCTACCCGAACGAGCGATTTGCCGCTTCCGAATTTCTACGGGAGGTCGTCCCCGAGGCTTCCCTCGCCCATCTCCGGTTTCTAGAGTTCGTCTTTCCCCGTTATCTGCCCGCTAGTTGGCCTGAGACCCAACACCCTGCGATGCAGGACTGGTGGGAAACGATCCATTGGCTCCAGGACAAGATCAACATCGCGAGGATGACAGGAAACTTAACGGTCATCAAACCGGGAAACGCTCCATTTTCTTACCTCCGACCCATAACTACCGAGGAAGGCGGGACCTTAATGACGGCCTTTACAAATCTCATGACACCCTTCAAGCGGTTGGCCGACAATGGGCTCGCTAGGTTTTACGCCCACTTACCTTACCCTTGGAGGGGGACTGAGGAGTCGATCATCCGCCACCTAAGCGACTCGTCGTGGTTGAACAAGGAAACGATAGCTCTCAAGGAACGTTCTGAGCGTTACGTTATGGGCAGTCGCTACGATCTATGCAAACCGCAGCAAAGTACCGAAGATAGCGATTGGATGTGATGGGCGAGGTATGGAGACGGGTCTGGATTAAGTACCTCTGGAGATGGCTCTTAATTATTGAGTCGTCGTTCATTCCGACCATCTCTCATTGGCCGTGTGATGGAGGGGCAATGGCTGACAGACAACTGGAAGGATAAAATCGAGCCCCTGAGATTTGAACATTCGGACCATGGGGCGAACTAGGTACCATTCAATTACTAAGACAGACATTAGATGGGACTGGTTGACGCCTTGGCCCTATTGGAACAACGACTTATATCATCAATATCACCGTTCCCGAAATAGTTACTGGCTCAGCTCATGTACAGTTGGTCCGAGCCAAGCTCCGCCTTGTTCTCCGGTCACCTCGAGCCATCCATCTCTCGGTTCCCAGCTCGGGGTTGACAACATTGGACCAAGATTCTCGGAATCGTTTGGTGTGCCTTGTAAATGATGCGCTTGACCTAAAACATGACCGACAACATTGCTGGGACAAATCGGGGGAATATTATACCGCCTCGAGCTGCACTGCCACGCCATCAGTGCCCTATTAACACCATGCTTCCTGGCGTTCTGCCCTGTTCCCCGCTTCCATTCCCAGTTTGGGTTCGGTGTAATTCTTGGGCTTCTTCCAATTCTTGGTCGGGTGAGGCTGCAATGAGGCTCTGCTACCACATTGCACCAGGAGCGGGGGCAATGCTGGGGATCTGACCTTGACTCGAGTCCTCCTACACGAACGGGGCGGCCAAGACGCGACTTTGGTATCGATTACAGACTTGCTTATGGCCTCTGGCCATCTCCCATTTCCTTCAATAGACGCCAACTTTGATGTAAATACACGACCACGGCGGTCGTATCCGACCATTCGATCCTGTACCTATACATCCGATACCGCCATCTCGGCCCAGATCACGCTGCCAATACCGAGTTAGCGCTTTCACATTTGAAGAAACAGGACTACCAACCGCTTGCTGAGTCTGGGGTTCCATCCTTATGATGTGGGGTCCAGGCGGCGTTTCGTGTGTCATTCGGTTCATCTGCCATATCCCTACGGGAATGATGGGCATTAGTGGCCTGAGTACCTATACGCAACTTGCGGGCTTAGGTGACATCTACGACGTTCTCCCGCATGGAAAGTCCTTCATAGCAGGCATGAGCTTCATTGGATACGCGGTATGATGGCCAAGGGGCCCGACACCACATAGTGATAGAGCCTTTTACCCCCACAGTCCGGCTAACCAAGAGTTCAGGGCACTGCTACTTTTGCATGGAACTTCTTCCAGTTCGGGGCTTCCCCGTTTTGCCGGGGGAGCCTTTTGGGATTGGTGGGGGTGGTGGATTTGGTACTCGCTGCCATCCTCATCGCGGGCGTCGCAATGGCTGGCATGTTTCTCCCCGATACATATGGGCCGTGCAACGACGCTTCGAACTGGAGCAATGCCACCGATGGCCGCAACCTCTTCCTGGTGGCTAATGCAACCGGTAACTTTGGTACCAGCGGGCCTAACGGCGCTTGCCACGGCATCATGCTGGTTTGGGTCATGACCATCGTCGTCATGTGCGGGTTGACATAAGTTTTCTGTCCAATCTGTTACAATCTTCTCGCTAACTCGTTACTCGGCAGTATTTTCTACGTCATATGTGGCTTTATCAACCTGCTACTTGGTTGTTTAGGGGAGCAAGGATCGAAAACATCCTTTGGGTCCATGCCGCAGTACGACCTTGATCTGTTTAGATGGCTTTCCACGCCGGCTCGGCTACTTTTCAGGCCCTTCTACCTGCTGTATCGGTTTACTCGCGGGTCCATACAACTCACAATACGGTATATATCCAAGTACCTGAATCGAAAGAAGGATATGCACCACTCCGAAAAGCACGATGGAAGCATACCCGATGTGAAGCCCGCCTCGGAACCCCACAACCTCCGCCTACCGATGGAGCTGGTGATAATGATCACAAAAGACCTCCACCACACCGACCTCATGAACCTCACCCTCTCCTCAAAGTACCTCCAGACAGCCTTCTTCGGGACGAACAACCCATCCCAGGTAGCGAGAGATCTACGCCAATTTGCATGCGCAGGAGACGCCGCCTCCTCAGTCAACTGCCCCGTCTGCCGCATCCCAACATGTTCGGTACGTTCATTCCTACCAACAACATCCCCCCCTCCCCCAAGGAGCTCCCCTCATCACTAACGTCCGCCCCACCAGGGATGCCGCCGCACCGCGCCCGCCCCTCGCCACAACCTCACGCTCAAACACTTCACCGGCTGCCAAGCAGTCTGCACCCGCTGCTTCTTCACGAACCACTGCGTCCGGAAGGCAGCAGAGCGTAATCCCAAGCCCGCCGGCGGCAAGAGATGGAACGGCATTGGCTGGGCACGGGCGGGCAGACCATTCCACCGGGGGAGGGGCCTCCTTGGTGGTGAGGGAGGGCCGAGACGCACCTTTGGTGGGGGGTGCTTCTCCGGCGGTGGCGGGAACGGGGGGATGGTGGGCCTGGGTCGGAGCTCTGGCCCGGCGGTGGAGGAGGTGTGCCAGAACTGTGCGAGGCTGGATGGGCTGGGGAGGGAGGAGAGAAGGGATGCGGGGAATTTACGTGAGATGTGGCGGCGGGCGACACTTCCGGTGGCGTGTTTGACGTGTAGGGAGGTGTTGTCGGAAGGGGGGGTGAGGTGGTGGGTTGATTCGGGGACTGGGGAGGAGTGTAGGTGGTATGGTCATCCGGGGTGGGTGGATGGACCGAGACGGGGGCCTGCGGCTGGGATTGGGGGCTGAATGACTTGACATAAGAGATGATGTTCATTTCTCACATATCAATTTTGCTTTTTCAGTTTGGTTCTCGTGATGTAGCAAGCGCCGTAGCCGAAGCCTGACAGAGCATCATGACTTTGGGGGCGAAAAGAACGGACCACTCGGGGCGGTGCCACTATGAAGGACGAAGGTTCACCAAGACCCACATTTCTTGTCCATAGTTCTCGGTGTGACACACCTGTATCCCCAACGGGCTATAGTTTTGAAGGCATTCCATGATCAAACGATTGTCGACCACTCATAGAGGGTTAACAGCGAAACGGATGTCGAAATCAAGCAGAAGTGGGGACCAACACCGCAATGTCTTACCCTCATGCAACCCATCGGCCGACCATGACAACAAACTGCATGGTTCGTCGGTTTGATCGCACGAACGAGAGAATACGGGCGGGTATGTAGAGTGAGTGAGTGTGACAACCTGATACACAGAAACATCGTTGTGGTCCCAGTTCTGAGAACCTGGTTTGGGGTTAGGTGTGGGTGGGTGCATGTCGGTGTTGGTTAAGGGGCTTTCGCAGTTGTTGTTACTTGTTGATAATCCCATCTGCAAGACGATATGGAAGGTACCTACACAGTGTGTAATGCCATGTGTGTCCCTGATGGTGGTGAAGCTCGGCAACAACTTTCCTTTCACGTGCTGCTTGGCCTCATTTCTTT